TTTTATTGGTTTTTAAATGTCTTAATGGTCTTGGGCCTTCTTATCTCTCAGATCTGCTTTTACCATACGAACCCTCGCGGACCCTGAGGTCCTCTGGTACTGGCCTTTTGATTGTCCCTAAAGTCAGGACACATACTCACGGAGAGGCAGCTTTTCAGTGGTATGGTCCTCGTCTGTGGAACAGCCTGCCGGAGGAGCTCAGGGCCGCAGAGAACGTACATGTTTTTAAGAACAGGCTCAAGACCCACCTTTTTAATTTAGCTTTTACTTAGCGTTTATTTATTTTATGCTTATTTATTCTATCCTGTTATTCTATTATTAATTTAGGCTTTACCTAATATTTATTGATTTTATTCTTATTCATTTTTTAATCTTCTTACTCTATTTATATTTATATTTATATTGTATCCCGTTCTTATTTATTTTATCATTTTACCCTGTATATATCCTATTGTGTCATATCTCCAGTGTTTCCTCGGAGGGGCTCTCTGCACCGGGGCTGTGATCGACCGTGGCTGCTGGGGCTCTGGGGGTCCTCTCAGCCTGGCTGGGGGGCTCCTTTGCCTCCCTCCTGCTGTGTGCCCAGCCTGGAGGCTGCGGTCTGTGACCGGCTCCCGGTGTTATAGTGTTTCCTCACTTGGCTCATGCGAACCCAGCCTAATTTTTACTCTTTAAGTGTGCGCGTGTGTGTGTGTGTGGGGGTGGGGGGGGGATATGTGTGTATTCACATCATTTATGTTAATGAGAGTGTGGGGAGTGAGTTGGAGGGTGGGGTGGGCTGCTTTTAACTATGTAAAGCACTTTGTGCTACATTTTTTTGTATGAAAAGTGCTTTATAAATAAAGATTGATTGAGACTGATTGATTGTTTCTGAATGACACGAGTCGCTCCACACTAACAGTTTACGCAGGTCAGCTTTTTTAAAACACGCAGACATCCACACATTATCACTTGAGGATTAACAAGGCCACTGAAACAGAGGTCATAACAACCCTGCAGAGAGCTGAGTCTAACTTCAAAAAAGTCAAGTCGCCACCTTATCTATGCAGACACACTGCAAACAGTGGAGATTAACCCTGAAAACTGCTTTGTCTGCCTGTTTGTTTGGTGGATCTCCTCCTTTTAGCTGATAAACCTATCAGGGTGATGTCTGGTGCAAAGTTACAGCTAATCTGTCAAAGTTCTCTCCCTGAAAATGACCTCTGTGCAGTGATTCTGAAATGTCCACTTACTTAAATATACTAATGGCCATTACTTTGTGGCATTAGTGTAATTTCTGTAAACAAGAAGGGCCATTAGGGAGCAGATAAGCAGCCTTGGAGGACGTTTTATATTGTGACCGCTGCTGGCTGCGATTTCATGTTAAATCGACAGGAATAAATGAGCAGTGCTTTAGAAACGCTAAACTTTTGCAAATCAAAAAAGAGAAAAGAACTATTGCACGGTTAATTTAGAAGTGGTTTTGTAAACAAGAAAATGATTGTTGCATTTACTCACACCAAAATGGATGGTGTGTATCCCTTTTTCATAAAACAATGGAGAAGGAAAAATCTCCCCTAGACTACACTGTATATACAGTAAGTGTTCATGTGCCTCCCTCACATAAGCCACAATTTTGCCTCAAGCAGGTGTGCTGTGGTAAGCTGCTGAAAGAGACCAGTCATTGTTTTTGCGAGAACATCTTTGGTCCCGTAGTTCGACTTCCAGATGTGCCCGCTGTGCCGCGTGTGACTCACCTCGTTTGTTGAGACACTCGACACAACAGCGTCATACCTGAGCGCTACCAGACATTTCTGTCTGCCTGTGAGGGCTTTCATAAGCGCTACGTCTATTTTGCTTTTACAACCCTTTTCATAATTTTGCTGATAAATCTTCTCTTCCCCCCCTGCATCTGATCTTAGATTTTTTTTGGCCCATGTTTCTTTTACTGATTAACCTCATTTCATAATCTCAGTATAACATTTGAGACCTTGAGCTGTAATCTTGAAGACAAACTTCTTAGGCTCTGGCACAGTCCGGTCACTTTGGCCGGCTGATTTATGGACTGGTGTTGGCCAAGCGAGGTCACAAAGGGACGGACGATGGAAACGCAACAGCTTACAACATAATCACATGGTAGTTTGTTCCAAAGTCATCAGACTGTGCTACGTATTAAAACTTGTTCCACTGACCTCATGTGCTGCTGTTTTAAGTCTTTTAGCAAATCCATAAAGAAAATAGTTTGTGGATAACCAGATTTGCCTCTGCGGATTGAGAAAGCATCTCTATATATATAATACAAATTTAATCTTTTTGTATTTTAGATTGCCTAACCTTCTAGAGTCCTACTCAGAGTATGTAAACCTTTGTAACATTAACCTGGGTCCTTAATTACCACCATTTTTGCTATACACCATCATGGTTACAAAGGTAACCCCCTCTACAAAAAGAGATCTTGGATATAAACACAATTAACTCATCTTCTCTCAGGTTTGGGCTTTTGTTATATAATTAAGGCAGGCTCACAGATCTTTGTGGGTTTGCTTTTCTCTTAAGTAATTGCAGTGTGTGGCACAGAGCCCAAGGCAAGCAATGAAGAAGAGTGAAGAAACAAGAAAATAGTGTGTTCTTGTCTGTGTTTTGTCTCTGTGGATGAGGGGGATGGTGAGATATTTGTGTTGCACTGTGAGCCAAAAGTGAACCAAATGGCAAAGGCTTACGGGACTTTGAGAGTGTGGCGGTCACACACCTGTCTGACAGGACCACAAGTGATAAAAGAGTTTTACGCTATGGGACCAGTATGAGCATGTGTGCATGAGTGAGTTGGATTAACGGTCGAGTCCCCAGAGCTGAAAGTGCTCCTGCTCTGTGTATATGGGCGAACTGCATGAAAGCAAGTTGTTTTGGCATTCGTCAGATTATTTTGTTTAAACTTCTCGCAGAACTGAAATTACAGCAGGTTAACGAGAAGCCGTGGCAGCGAACCAGCGTCCACAAAGGCAGGATATACTCTAAGTGGAGTGACTCCATTATTAATTTGCTTGTGCTTTTCCTGCTTTGACACATGAATGCCTGCTTGCTGAGGAAGGTCTTGCCCAAAACCACACTGGTCCTGAGATGAGATCTTATCAGGCAGACTAAGAGAAAACACCTGTGAGAGTCTACTGAGGGTCTTAAGTGCATATAAAAAAACATGAACCATGATCACATGAGGGAAAAATCAGATTTTAAAAAAACTGGTACCGACTCTACCTGAAATCCAACATCCCCACAGACATTCCCATGCTTTGACTTTCAGAAAAGGACTCTGTCACCGTGACTTTACCCACTTGTTCTTGTTTTTAATGTGTTTTCATTTTTATTGTTTAAGCATTTTAAGCCTTAATGCACTTAAAACTTATGAGATACTCAAAATAGATCCACTATGGCACTGCGTTGAAAGGAAAAAGTGGCAATAGAGTCCAAAACCATTTTTGGCTGAAGGCTGTAAATATGTGCTGTAAAGTTAAGCATTATGTCACTGCAACCTCCAGGGACTGACCCACTTTTTGAGTCAGCCTGAAGTGGTCATTTGAGGAACTGTGTTGGCTACCTTTTCACCCCAGATGTTGCTTATTGTGTCCCCAGTGGGTGATTCATGTGTATTAGCAAGTAGCAACAATGTAGCCTTGAACCTCGAGTCTTACAAGAGCACATCTGTTCTTTCTAACTCAACATGCACAGACTTCTATATTTTTTAACTCTGGGTTTTCAGGGCTAACAGAGGCTGACAAAATTGCATTACCAAACAGCTTGTATGGATTAAAGTAGCCTTATCGCTAAGACCTTTAAACAGACATCTTTGAGTAAAATCAGTGGTGCTCTTTGGTCTCACTGATCATCAGTTTTGTGACAGCTTTACTGTGTGTAGTTGTTACATTTAAAGAAAGAAAGCTCTGATAAACCAGTCTCCAAGGAGGAGTCAACAGAGACCACAAAGCTAACCTTAAATAATGATAGCCTTTCAGCTTTTGTCTGGGAAGAGATTTGGTAACTTAATCTACTGCCAAAGCGACTGAAAATCTTTAACCTACGCCACTTTAGCCTTTTCCTCTTGAAGATATCTACATAAATAAAGTCAGAACTCATGAAAACTGCAGTACATGCAGTACTTGTGTGTTGTTTTTTTCGCTTCAGCTTGTGATCTCAGCAAAAATGGTTTCAATAAGCAGTTCATTATTTCTGAGCTCCCCGAGATGCATTTTAAACAAAACTACCAGACGTCACAGACCCCTCAGGTACCCAGTTGTGCCTCTGTGCACTCTCCCTCGTCTCCCCCCGCGTAAACTGCCAGCCCTGCCTGCTCGCCTTCTGATGCTTTCATGCTCTACAAACCTCATTTCCACCGAGCATTGCTGACTTGATGTCATGAAACTAAAATATGGACCTCAAAACATCAAGACAGCAGTCCCCGCCCATCAGCCCAAAAATCAGCCCTTTTGGAATAAATGTTCAGTCTGAGTTTGTTTTAAATATGCAAGAAACACGAGTTTGTCACTGAGCTGCGAGTGGGGAAAGATCTCTTCTGACTCAAACAGAGACGGCTGATGTGAAAGTCTGTACACAGCTAGTGAAACTGATTTCCCATGTCCCATTATGACAGGATAAAATCTGACTGACAGTATAAACACATAGAAATGGCACGAAACCATGGGGTTGAGATCGGGCTATGCTCGCTTGCATCATTTTCGCATCATTATTGTGTGTTGCCAAATTCATATAGAAATCCCAAGAAAGACTCCTAAATTTAAAAAGGAAGCTCTGTTCTATCTGAGGAAACATGACACAGTAAGAGAGAGGAAATGGGTGTGAAAAACAGGACACGAAAGAGATGAAGGAAGTGGGATATGAGGAGGAAAATGGGCTATTTTTGACAGGGTATCTGATCAGGCTGTTGTCATGTTTATAAAAGACTGATTTGATGTAAATGTGAAGGACATGAAGGCAGAAAAAAAGGACAGTTGAATATATGCTATACTAAATTTAAGAGGTGAAGAGAACCCCCTGCTGGCCAGAGGCAGAATTTCGTGTTCTAGATTTTTAAAAAAGGTTCGAGTCAAAGCTTCTAAAAACAACCATCACAGAGATCAGCAAATGAATGCATTTTTTTCCAATATTGCTCAAAAGTTAAAATCTTTCAGTCACGTGTTCATACCTTACAAGAACTTCAGTGCAATAGTCTTTATTATTATATACCCAAAACAGCAGAATAAAACATGGAATAAGGCCTAAACCACAAAAGAACAGAAATAATACCATAATAAGTCAATTTTTTTTAAATCACAACATTTTAAAAGTCAAAAAACTCACACATTTCAGTCTCAGTCACAATCACAAAATCCAAGTCATCGGTTTTACCGGCTTTATCTCACCAGGCGTACATACGTGTCAAATAAACGTGCTCCACATTTTGCATTCCTGAAGTTTAAGAGAAACTCGGAAGATTATGTAGTATCTACATCACACTGCCAAATTACCTTTCTATAATCCGCTGGCCTCTGAACAGGTTAAGTGAGATAATCCCTGTCTAATCCTGCTATCACTGCCTTTAATCTCTTAATCCGGTTTTTGTTAAACTACAGATTAGATCAAGTTTGCTGACAGGTGTGGAGGCACATGTTCGTGGTGAAAGAAGCACTTTAGGGAAGTAAGTGTAGTCATACAACTGCAAAAACAAAACACTGCCGTGTGCTGCCTAAACCAGTGTGGTCGTCACCAAAATTCTGCCTTACTGCATTCTCTGTGCTGCGGTTAGATGGTAAAGAGACAATTCAGGTCTGGGTGCCCACCTCATCTCCCAGAAATAATTCAGAATTTCATAAATTAGCATAGTGACTTTTAATACAGGCAACTTTTTTTCATAAGTAGTAGTGGTTGGAGTTCAATCACTGGTCCGGGATATGAACACTACCTCTGGCTCTGTGCAGGCAGAGAAATGGAAGCTCTCTTTGTTAAGCGTCGCCTATGACCTATACGTCCTCTTTACTCTTACATAAATAGACTGACCTTTAAGTAATGGGGAACCAAAGATTACAAAAAAAATAAATAAACAACAACACTGATTTTCTTTTTATGTCTCAACCAGCAATCAGGCCATTGGTAGTAAAGTGGCTGTGAACACACGTTTTCTGGAGCGTATAATAGCTGACAATACAGAGGGACTTCAAGAGGCGCCAGTTTAGTTACAGGATATCCTTTGCAAAATTTACCTTCCTCCTACATCTACCACCCTCCTCATGTTGTTTATTTTCTTTTACTTTCTCCTCCACCATGTTTCTAATTGGTCTTGGTCTTCAGCTCTGCCAGCTTGCTGGTAACAAAGTTCCATTTGAAAGACGCATCCTCGTTGCCTCCTCCCAGCGAGACGTACTTGGAGAAGCTATTGTTGCTCCTTCCTCCCCCTTCACTCTGCTCTCCCTCAGTGACCTGCCCATCCTGCTGACTTTCCGCCCCTCCAGCCTCTATCACCCCTTCCTCACCTTCCCCTGTTGCTGCCTCGTTCTCAGCAGCAGCGGCGGCGGCCGCAGCAGCTTCGGCCTGTTTCTTGGCTGCCCAGTTGGACGCAAAGCTATCCCAGAATCCCGTGCGCCTGGTGGGTCGCGGAGGCTCCTCGGGCTTTGCTGCAAGCGGACTGAGAATTTAGACAAAGCAGTAGGTGCTTTAAATTATGAAACAACTGACGAAGATTTTAGATTTTAAATAACTTAAGTTTTAAAATTACATGTAAACACAAAGACTTTATAAGAAAGGCTTCAATATTGATTAATCCAACAATCATTACTTTATGAAATAGACAAAAAAGCCAGATTTTGGTCAGTAAGCATCCTAGATTTTAAGAAAATAAGAATTTATGTCTTCCAGTAATTATCTTCATTTCTATTTGTTTTTTATTAAACCTCCTTTTTCCCTTTCAGTTCAGTCTGTACATCAATTTCTGCCAAAACATTTCTTTAGGTCAGTGCAACGAAAGTAAAACTTCAACCTTATGAGTTACAAAATCTGATAAAGGTGTAAGGCTCTGTTTCACCAGCAACATCAATGTTCATGAATGCATGTGAGAAGATAGACGATTAAAAACTCACTGGTCAGCGACAGGGGGGCACTCAGTCTCCTCTAGGAGCTGGTGTTCATCATCTTTGTTGAAGATCGCTGATAGCCGATTCCAGCTTTTAGCTCCTGCCCCCTGCATCTTGACAAGGTCAGAGGTCAAAGTAGGGATTTAGTGCTGTCAAATATCACTTGACTAATGCTCCTCTGTCATATCTTTAGACATATGCTTAGCATGAACCTTTGCATGGATATTCTCACTATACTCACTGCATCTGTGACCATTTTATAAAGTATTTGTGAAGCCTGCGTGATTAGTAAACAGACAGAAAATACCCTACAAGATTTACAAGCACTGCCAGGGTTCACATACTTTCCTGGCCAGCTGGGAGACAGCATTGGGCCCCTCCTCCTCCTGCACTGGACTCATATCGTTCTCCACCTCTGTGACCTGCAACACCAGTAAACAGAACAATATTTCATTAACCTGTCCACACACAGTCTGGTCACAACAAACTGTCTAAGTTTAATGCACAACACAGAATCTGTGCACAGCAGTCGCCATCTGGTGCGTATTGTGGGTACTGCAAGCTGAGGCAGACCTAGCTTAAACACACATGACACTATTAAATGAACTACTGGAGACTAAAAATAAATTGCCACCACAGAAAAATGTTTAATATTTCTTTATTAAAACTAACTTTAACATTTTGCACATTGTGTTTTAATTGCTTGTTTTTTCTCTTGACCAACTTACTAATTACTTAACAGTAGTATTTCCACATCAGTGGATGTTTTGACATTAGGAAGACTGATAGTCAAACACTTTAGAAGTCTCTAATTTCACTAGAACGTGTGAAGCAATGGCAACTCAAATAGCAGTGATGACATCTCTGCATATCTATCTAGATGGAAACTATCTCTCCGGATTCCCTGTCGTCCTTGCAAATGCCCGGGCAGCTCAAGAGGCCACAATGTGAAGCAGTCAGCTGGCAGATCTGAATATGCCAGTGAGGAACCTGGCTATCTGTCTCGTCCGCCTGTCAGCCCGTCACTCACTGGAATGCCAACTAATCCGTTTGTTCAGCTCCTGTGCAGGATCGAATTTCTCAGCTCTCTGGAGATCTGGGTCAACGCAACACTGTTTCACGAGAACCAAGTCCTGCATCGAGTGCAGGTGTTGCCGTGAACATGAGCAGTGGGAAAAATCCAATCCAACAAAAACCACTAAAAAGAAAGTCGATGTCTGACCCTTGGAAAAGGTCACCGCGTAACTCCAAGACATTCTGAGAGCTTTAAAAAGGTAGAAAAGAAAACTAAGAAAGTTCTGCTTCACATGAGTGTAATCGTCTATTAGTCCTTTCTCTGCGATAAAATGTTTTTATGTTTACTTAAGTCACCACAGGCATCTGAAATATGACTACAGACCAAGATTCAATAATGATTTTATGTAAGAAGATACCAAGCAAAAGGGCATTCGATGACTGCTGAAAACATCCCATATTGCTTGCAGTGTTGCCTGTATTTTGGTTAAAAGCTGTTTAATTATTGCTGTGATTGCTCTTATGTATCTGGATTTCATTTTAAGTCCACATTTGTCTAACAGCAACTAATAAAAAAGTAGATTTGATGCATGTAGATTTGTATGCACATGTTAGTAAACACAGTTTCATCAGAGTCGACTTGCCAGCGTGCATTAAGGCCAGCATTGCTGTTCCCAGGCCGAACATCTGTCTTAAAGTTCCCATTGCATGGAAAACAAATCAGCCCTGCAAGCTCATCTAACGCTGTGATGAATAAGAAATGATCAGCAAAACAAAACCAGCTGACTTTCTGACTTCCGTGCCAACAATTATGTCAGCTTTCTTGTACTTTAACCTCTTAAGCCCCAAGCCTAACTCATCTCCTGCTTTTTCCCCCGTATCAGGGGGCGTTGGGGCTTAAGAGTTTAAAGTGTTTCTGACAAACAAATTAATGAGTAACATGAGCAAATGTGGAGAAACGTGTATGTATATTCTGTACCTCCTCGGCAGTGTCCTCCTCATATTCGGGATTAATAGTCTTCAGCACTTTGCTTTTATAAACCTTCCACATTGGATTCATACTTGCAGAAATAGATGCTCAACACTTGAGGGCAAGACCTGTGAAGATGCCTCTGCGCTCCACCCTCCACCAAGTCTCCACGTCCACCTTCAGCTCAGTTGGGCCGACTTTGGCCTGTTTCCATGCGTAACGTTCTCAGCAGATTATAAATGCAGGGAGCTTGTTCAGAGCTGAGGCCCAAACTTTGTCATGCTGCTTCTCCTGGTCAGATTATGTCTGTCTCATTAAGCCAGCAGGGCTGACAGCTGCTTTCATCCCCACAGAGTGTCTGAACAGGTAAAGCTAGGAAGTTGCGCTGCTTGTGCATCCGCCTACGCAGGTATACACACACACACACACTAATTGTCAGCGTCACGGTACTGCCTTGGTTACCTGGAAACAGGTGTGGATTTCCTCATTCATATTTCAGAGGGTTTCTTTTGCAGAGCCAGAGGTCCATTGTCATCCTGTGCTGGTAGGATGGCTCCTATAACCTTGCCACACAAACACACCAATACAAACTAGTTTTTCAGAAAGTTGGAACTACTGTCTAAAAGGTAAATAAAATAATATAAATTCCACAAGTATTTAATTAAATTAGACCAAAGACCGCTTAATAAATGTTCAAAAGTGAAAAAGAAATCTAAAATGTCTTTATGATCTTTGCAGTTTACATGTGCAAACATAATTGCAAATGTTTCCCTGAACACAGGGTGTGCAGGTTGTCAGTGCTATACAAATGTAAAAGGTTGTACATTTCCACCTTGATCTATTCTGTGTACATGAGCACAGAGCTTTGAGAAACTCATGTTCTGATAACATCCTCCCCCTCCTTCCACGTCCCGTCTTATTCAAGTAGCGAGCTGGAGGGGTGTTGTGTAAAAACGTGCAACAGTCGCTTGTAATCTGAACTGCATTTGAATTAACGCTACACACAGGTGCTCATGTCTGCTTTATTTATGGCAACTCATCTTTATACCATCCGTATTAACAAGTAACTCCTCTTTCACTGTCACCTGGCCACTTCCTCGCTGTCCTCCTCTCTGCAGCTGCTATTGGCTGCTGTGACAGATGAGACGAACACCAATCAAATTCAGGCGCCATGCAAGGTTTTTTTGTGTTTTTTGTGACTGGTCGCCTGGCAACCCAAGCGGGCTAGTTTCATGTTGATAAAGAGAGAAGTATAAAGCTCTGATGACAGATTGGATTTCACCAGCCACAACACAAACAGCTGACTAAAGAAACACGCCGTGTTTTGCTCACCTGGCTCAAACTGACAGAATTTTAACTGTGGTGATAAACTCAAACATCAGTAGCATAACTGATCGCTATAAACGATCGCTGCAGGGAAGGATTGATCATGATCTGATTATCAGCAGAGAAATTTGACCTATGCTGTTCTGTTGCCCTCCTGATCCTGGTTTTGATTACCATACAGATTTCCACAGTAATGAAGCTGTAAGGTCGGGTAGATCCATACGATCGGCGTGAATTATGAATGCAAGTCTATGGACGACACATCTACACATAAAGACGGGTGGAATTTGGTCATTTGAACAGCAGCCAGTTTGGGCAGCCTGAGGAGCTCAGGTTTCAGATGGGAAAGGTCACACCCAGGGATTTATCAGTTACCGCAGCACACACAGGCAGTAGATTATTATGTATGACTGACATGTTATGACCTACATATCTTTTGAAGCATTACAAAGGAAGCTGGAGAGTATTGTAACCAGTATGTGTCGGGATATTAAAATAGATCAAATTAATGTGGGTGTCGCTGATAAACTCTATCCGGATTTAAAGTGCATATCACTCCTCAAACTACAGTTTTGAGACGTTTACATCAGACATATTTTTCTGAAATAAACGTGTCAGAGGAGAAATACGAGCACAGATCCATCTACCTGAGTACTTCAATAAAAGCTTGAAATATTAGAACGTTTTTGTGATATTTGACATTTCTAACCCCTTACATTTCAATTCAGTTTGTTTGTAAAAGAAAACAGACACGTATAGCTGCAGATCCTTGCACTGATAATACCCCTAAGCTTTTAGACCACAGGTGCTCGGCTCAGTTATCATTTCTATCTCACAAGATAAATTTTCATAAATAAATTAAAACTGATCAGAACTGAGTTCAGCTTACTGGTGTCCGGCCTTCCACAACAGTCCCAGTTTTCCATGTGGTCCACAGGAAAATTAATTGCCTAACCTTGTTTTAGACTATTTAAAAACACAGCACTAACTGGGGCTTTCCAGCCCTGTGAAGGACTGGCAACTTGCACAGTGTATACTCTGCATCTGGCCCTGAGTCAGCTCCAGCCCTCATCATGAACTGGATAAGTGGTTTATAAAATAGATACATGGAGGCTTTTCCATTGAATATCAAGAATTCTAAAGTTAGAGAGGCAAAGTCGAGATGAGTAGAGCAGGGATAGTGGATATAATGAAAAAAGGATGTTGAATATGGAACTAGGAAAAGAGAAAGCTCACAGAGGAGGTTTATGGGGAAAGGACACGGAGAGGGTAGGGTGAGTTGGAGGCAGGTGATCTGTAGTGGGAGCAGCCGAAAGAAGAAAAATAGAACTACAAATTCATTTTAATTATATATTTTAATACCTTTATTACCTCCTCTATCAGTTCTCCACATTAAACACAGACAGCCTCAGATCACCACTAGGTGGCTCAAGAATCCTCAACAATGGTGGACATCCGTTTCAGAGAATCCTGAAGTCGGACTCATTTCCTTTTTTTCAAATGCCTAATGATTAAGGCCGTGATTTTATCCCACACAGGCACAAAAATACGGAATAAATAAGAATACAATGTAATATAAAGAGAATAGCTACTAGTAGGGAGTGTGATTGCATCAAATAGTTTTTTGTTATTGAAAGCGGGAACAAAAGGATTTGGTTGCTTTACTAATCACCCTATTTGCATTGCAAATAAACTCAGTACAGGTAAAGGCTGAAGTCAGGGTTCTGGTGGTTGGTTTCATCTTCTTGACGCTGTTCGTTTAAGTTAATTCCAATTTCTGTTAGGCCCATTGTATTTGTATCGACTTCTGACAGAGAACCAACTTTTTGTATTGTGTATACATACACACAATCCAGAAAAGCTTTCTACCTAAATTTAGGCCACAGGTCTTTGTCTCAGAGCAGTTTATTTTGCATTTGAATTTCAGAGAGAAGTATATTTGCATTTCAGCGTGTCCTCCTTAACAGAGGGTGGCTACCCAAAGACAGGAACTGGTCTTTTCTACCATCAAAGCATAAAACTGATAAAAATGGACTAAAGCCGGTTTTGATACTTTGAGTGCTCACAGTAGTTTACCTATGCGACTCTCATGAATAGCTAGCAAGACAAAAACATGAAAATAAATCTACTATTCTTGATTTCCTGATACCAAAGAAGGTTTACCTATGTGGAGCTAGATAAATACTGCCTCCTTTCGGTTCTTGCGAACACTGTGTGGTCTGCAGGAGGTCCCTGAGTTCATCCACATGCGTATCATATCACTTTTGACCACTGGGGGGCGACATATGAAATAATTTCCTGCTTCAGTGGGTTATTTGAGAGATTAGGAACACAAAGTACAGAACACAGTGTACTGAATGTCATCCATATAGTGCCTCTGCATGCATGCTACATTGTTAACATGCAAGCCTCTCAAAAATCAGAGATATTAACAAGTGATGTGCAGCATCGTTAATAATCTAAATGGAGCTGCACAGGAGATGCTTCACCACATGAAGTTTTCTGTGCATGATGCTACATTTTCCTTTGCAATGCCTGAAATCACAGCCAACTGAAATTAGTAAGATTTTGATATATGTAAGCTAAACAAAAGGCTCTGGATATGCTGAAGCTCTATTGTCTGAGCAGACATCCCACCACACAGGAATGTCATTCATTTCAGTGACTAAGCTTAAAGCTGGTTTCCTCTGTCAAGCTTCTCATTGTTGTAAAGCTGATATCATAATCCCCTTTTCATTTTATTGTACAGGAATTTAACTGTAGTGATATTAAAGAAGTTTGCATCTTAATGCTAAGATGTTCTTACTTTATAACCCAACGCATTTAATTAACCTCCATTCATACTGTAGGTATGTAGTATATTATTTATTGTGTATTTTATTAATTGTCCTTAACCAAAGTTAAATGACAAAATATTTGTGTATATTTGTGCAAAACGTCCCGGAGTAACTTCATTGTAGAGCCTGTGCAAAGAACATTTCACTGCATTTGTACTTATTGACACTGGCCTGTTACATCAATGTATAATAAGGCATCATTTTGTTATCTCGTAGGCTTACTGATTTTACATAAAAATATTTTCAAAGAAAAAGATGCACTAAATTAGTATCGTAAATCTAAGTCCAGACGTTGCACTACAGCGTATTGTTGCTCTCAGTACAGGTGTAAAAAACTACCCTTAAACCATCATGTGTATTGAACATGTGCTGTTCAGGAAAAACACCCACAAGTCAGTGCAGGTGAACCGGTTGACCTGCTTTAAAAAATACATTCATACCTACTTTGGAGTTAATGCCCTTCACTGCAGACATTGACTCACATCTGCGCTCTCCCTTCTTCTAACCTCCCCAGCTACAGTATCTTGTCACAAGACAAGATACTCATATTCGCTGCCATGAGTCTATTTAAGAGTTTGTTGTTCAGCCTCCTGCAGCGACTTGGAAGGGAAAAGTCAAATTCCACTTCTGTGCGCACAGATCTGCGAGCTATAGCGCTGATGCTTGTGTAAATGCACACCGGACAAAATGTTTCTACACCAAAGGAGATCTAAGTGTAAAGGCAGATTAATGCACTAGTGGCTGTTTCTTCCTAAATAAAATGTTATTTCATTTTACAGCTGTTTAAAAGTGGTGACATGTGGTTGAACGGCTTCAGCTGGTGACAAGCATCAAGAACGTCCTGGGAAAACAAAGATGTCTGGTTACTCTAGGGGAGCATGAACCTAGAGGCTCTTTGCTATATTTATTCTGTGCAGTGTCTGAAAAACCTGAGTCATAAACTGCAGTGTTGAAGATCAAGGCAAACACAGCTGAGAATTTTAGACTAAAAGGATCTGACATTCAGTTTTAAAGTCTAAGAGTGATTTGCTGATGTTCACTGCTGCAGCGAAATCTCCGTGTGCAGGTCAGTAGGTCAGACTGCACGAGCGCTCTATGCCCTCTTGCTCATGCAGTTCAGCACATTAACTGAAAGACCTGACATTTTGAAAAATACGTCTAATGGCTTTTTTAATACGAGGTGAAGAAGAAGCATCAGCAGAAATAAGCCTGTCATATTGAAAAAAGGGAAATTACAATGATGGCCTGGAAATGACCACACGAAAACGTACAGTTCTGGTCCATAGCTTACATCCACTGGCGTGAATGTCATGGTCATTTTGGGATTGTAATGATTTCTTTCAGCTGCTATTTTTCCAGCATGGAATGATTCACAGCATACATCTGTGAGTTTGGTGCACACGTTAGAATTTGAGATGTTCTCTAATCCACACAGGGTCAAAAGTATACATAGAGACTCAAACATAAGCACACACTCTCTTAAATCTGGGATACTTGAAAAGCCCAAAGCCTATTAACATCTCATTGATCGTTATTGACTACAAATGGTAGTTTCTTTTTGCCACCATACAAAGGGGTTTGTTTGACAGCACTCATTGGACTTAGCAAGACTTAGGAAAATAGTCAAGCCCAATGTAAGAGCTGTCAAATATCCAGCCAGAATTAACTTTACTGATGGCTGCCAAAAGCATCTGGTTGAGGTGCAACTTGCTACAAGACACTGGTTGTCTTTCAGGACAACCAAGAGAAAAGCACTAAACAAAAAGGTCACCCATCACAGACGTACAAATGCAAGATTTTCATTTAAGGAGGTTATCAAAATTATTAAAAATACCCCATATTATTATTTTTGTACCAGACTGTTAACTGCCATGTTTGCAGGAGAAAAGGGCCCAAACACATGACACTGAGACAGACTGAAATAAACAGAATAAGTGACAAGAACCCGGAAAATTCAGTCAATGCCAAGAATAAACCTCAAAGAGACACTGAAACACAAACTGTGGTGAAGAACAGGCCTATTTACACACACACACAAGGTAATCAGGATATAGGACACAGGAGGGTAACGGGACACAGGTGAGGACAGTCATGCAGTTAAAGGAATTGTGATAAAGAAACAGGAGGCAAAATAAGAAGTGAATAACAACCACACTGAAACAAGGACACACAGGCCGTGACTGGACAAAGGGGAAGACACAAGGGAGATGAGACAGAGGGGGAAAATATAAACGATAACAAGGAATAAAGGCTTGTGATACTAAGAAATTACCAAGAATCAAAAGCTAAATGTAAAAAAAAATAAAAACAATAAAAAATAAAAATAAAAACTAAGAAGTAAACAAAAGATACTTAAAAATAAACAAGACTTCAATTTCTGGAAACTAAAAACCCCAGGTCAAAAAGCCCAGAGGATAACAGTAAATATGTTCATTCTGTGGGGGTTGACTCACTTTTGGAGCCTCAAGTAAACATTCAACTTTTACCCATTAGCTTCATTTTTTTAGAAATGAAGTTGCTGCTTGGCCAAAACATAAGACACGTGTGTAAAACTGTCCTCTTTTTTTGCAGGAAATAGTAAATTAAATATTCCCCGTCAATTAATCAACTTACCAACTGGTTTTTTTTAGGTAGCTCCATCTCCACTCATTAGAGCTAAGCTAACTGTCTCTGCCAGAGGTAGCCGTACATAATTCAGTCAGCAACTGACTTCCCTCAAAGTCTCTTACTTTCATCTGATTAACTCTTAAATGCTTGAATATGTAAAAGATTTTTTTTACAGAATATTGAGGAAAGGTTACTAAAAAATCAAAATAGCTTATCTTCCCAAACTACATGAAAAAAATCATGAAAAATTAAACACTGTTTGAGTAAATTAGTGGATGTTTATAAGAAAGAAACTACACGTTTCTTATTGGAATGACCCGAATAATTTATAATTGTCTTATAAAACATTCTAACCTCCTAAAATGAGTCGGGTCAAAATGCACGCTTTGTTTATGCAAATGAAAACATGGCTAAATGTAAATGTAATATAGCACACGGGTTCTTAGTAAGGCGTGGTGAGTTGCATAAGCTTAAACAATAAAGTTGTGCATCCGCGTGTTTTTCTGTATTCTATATTGCATGTTTCTTTTACAAGGATCTGCAGGCGTGCGAGTTTCAGTGCAGTTGCTTCCTGTCGTGCCAGCAGTTGTGTAACACACAATAAAATGCCCTTTCAAAGCTCTTCTTACCTTCCAAAACAAGCTCGTATTGTCGTTATGTTTCCATGATCGTCATTTTGGCATCAAGCTCCTGGTTTACATAAGAACTCTCAAGGTTATTTGTAGCACTTTTTTTAACAACTTAGCAAAAATGCATACAAAAGGACACTTCTGAAGAAAGTACACCTCTAACTTTCTCATTACTTGTGCAATGCTGGAGGTAGATTTCACAGTTAGCAGTACATGCAGTGATTGCAAAGGGCATAGCATTT